CACGAGTTTGTGGCTCTGTCACTGGTACGTGTACCGTCACGTGAGGAAGGTTGCTCATTTCGTCGGAGGCAGCGTCATGACGTTGGCATAAATTCGGACGCCCAATCAAGCAGAATAGGGAATTGTCTCGCAAAGGCCGTAGGCAACAGAGGGTGATAAGTAAAGTGAGCTTGGGGAGGAAGAGATGTTAGGGCAAGGGTGAAAAGGAATGGGCATAAAGGAGGTAAGAGTTGGAAGAACCAGGAAGATGGAAAGGAGAAGCCAGATGACGGGTAGAGGGGAGCGCAGGACAAGTTGCGTGGGAGTGGGCAAGGAAATCGAGCGAGGGCCGGGGGGTAAGAGCGGCAAAAGAAGTTGGGCGCGGCCGTGCAAGAAGAAGTCCTCGAGGCAAAGGGCGATGGGGAGAAGGGGGAAGGGCGGCGAGAGAGTGGAGTGTCGCGCGGTGGGCCAGCGGTGTCCGCAAGGTGTCCGCCGCCCGGTTTGGCCGGCCGCCCTATCGCCTTCCTCGTTAGATACTCGGAGCGCGCGGCCTGCTTCGGCTTGCTGCGGCCGGAGGCGCGCCGCCCGGCCCCTATCCCCGCCCCGGGCGGCGGAGGTGCGCGGAAGCGGAGGCGACGCTATTCGACGCCGCTTCTCACCTGGATGTCCAGCCAGGAAGGCGCCCGCCCGGACTCGAAATGCGGTTTCCTGCCCGAGCACAGTGCCCTCACGTGTATATGGAAACCGACACATTGCGACCACAAGTTTTGGGAAATATTAAACTATAATTCAGACTAATTTACTTATTTTTGTAATTAATATTCTGAAAGGTTAGTTATCTTCGAAGGTGCAATACGTTTAATAGATATCTCACCTTAAGGTCTGCATATTGCTCTAATGAGGAGTAAATTAGAAATGTAAAAGAGGGATATAGCAACTGTGATGAAATATAGAGAGGTAAAAGGTTATCGTAGTTTGAAGTGGAATCGAGAGATCGTGTGAATAATATCTCCTGGTGTCTTAACTAGGCGTGTCTTACTCTTTACCGATGTGAATAATGTATCTTAAGGGGGGAGGGAAATTATATGAAGAGAAATTCTAGAAAGTATGTTCGGATACTGCGAATCTTTACAAAATGCGCTTCTTAGTGCTTTGTGAATTTGCCATACGATAGCAATGAAACCTCCAATCTGTGATCAATACAACGCGGAATTTGTTTTTGGATTGTGAAATATTTCTGGTAGTTGGCTTGGTACGAAAATATTCCCGTATAAGCTAACGTTTCGACCGAAGTGATCGACCGACTTTCATCCTTCCCAACTCTCAAGTATCCCAACTCTCCTCTGTTTGTATTCGCGCGTAAATTAGATCATAAATATGACTGACGAAAAGTAATCGAAAACGTAACGTTTTAAAGTGATGTATTTAACATTACGGCTATCTGTTGAGGGTTTATTTGAAAGAGGAAGCATAATAGATATCTTTAGTTTACATACACAATGAATTAATACTTAGTTCTGTCTTTTTAAGACATCTTTAACCGACTTTGGAGGTGTATTAATGTTTTACCAGCATGTCTTCCTTGGCTGAGAATTAATCTAGCGGTGACTGGGGAGCACATTGCATTGTAGCACAGCCAGGGATGTTTGAAATCTCCCCGAGGTTAAACTCGAGCAACGTCTGCCATGTGCAGCGCTCTTATTCGTAGCGCCTGCGGCTGCTTCGCCGCAGCTGACACGCATCGCCCGAACGAGTGGGCGCTCTCTTCGCGGAGCGGCGTTGTAAACAGAGAGGCGCCCGCCGCGCTCCGGTAGACGCCCGTTCCGAAGCAACGAGAGCACTCCGCAGCGCGAGGCGCAGAAAATGATAATTGACAGGAAGAATCGGGACGTTTAGCAGCGTCGGCAGCAGCGGGGCTCCGCCGGGCGCATGGGTGGGCGGGAAAGTGAGCCGCCGGCGCGAAGCTTTATGGTAGAAAGTGCTCTCGCGCGCTTAACTGGAATTCGAGCGGCGCCGATGCTAAGAATGCCCCCCTCCCTCTCCCCCCCCCCCGCGCATGCCGCGCGGCGGTGGCGGCCTCACGCAAAGCGGAGGCGAAGGCGGCGGGGCGCCACGTATCTGAGGTCTCCATGGCGACCGGCGGGCGATAACCCGGCGCCCCGCGAGGAGGGCGAGCGGGCGGGCGCAGCGGGGCTTGGCCTAGCCCTTCTGCTTTGGAACGGCACGGGCGGACAGTGCGCATTTTTCTAAAGTTCATTACATGTCCCTCCGTACGCCGTTTCCAAATGATCGAAGGAAGCACGTTGTGGACGTGCCGTCGTGTATTAGCGACCAGACCGATGGCGTCTTCGCCTAGTCCGCGCAAATGCATCGGGTCGGGATGACCTTTTCGTCTGACCTTTCGTCTGGCTACGTGAGGCGAACACGCAGTTGACCACTTTAAGTATGTTGGTCCAGAATTATCCCGAACCGTCGGAAGAGCCCGCATCTTCCCGTCCGACCAATTTCAGCGCAGACTGCGCGCAACCGACATAAAAAATGCCGTTCTTGGCGCACCGCCAGCCTGTGCCGCTCTAACCCGGCGAGCGTAGCTGCTGCCAGACTTTTAGGACGGTGCTCTCGTATTCTCTGGCATTCGTGTGGATATATATATTTTTTTCTTTTAAAGACGCGGTATATTTTTCTTTTCCTGAAAGTGATCGTGCAATTCTGCATAATCGAAATAATTCGCGAAAAGATAAATTAAGTTGTTTGTCCAATTGCTGCGAGCTCATTGAAGAGAAAAAAGACTATATTCTGGTGATATTACCACAGATACACGCCCGATAATGAAATAAGGAAGCTTTTACGTCTGTTTGCATCGTTATCTCGATTAGATACATCAAAATACCGTCACAAATGATTATATTCCAAGATAATTGTCTCTAAGGTTTTCCTTATCAAGATAGAATCCACAGCATCTCGAATCCATATGAATGTAAGCGTTGTTCAACCTAATTGTTCAATTTTAAAATAAAACGCTGAGTAATTGTATTTAAATTGTGATTAGATTGTTATTGTCTACGAATTCTGAGTTAGTTTGTTTATGTAGATGGATATTCAATGGGAGAGTTTGACATGTACGAGTATAAATAATGACTAAATATCTGTTGAATTTAGATTTATGTATATCATCATTTTCATAAATCTTTCAAAAAGAAAATAATATGCTCCTGATTATATTCAATCTGCGAAGGTATCTGCGTTCTGTTTCCAATGAGAGAATTTGACATTGCAGAAGTGTCAACGTTCGCACACCTACAGTCCTTGACAACAGTAACGCGGAATTGTCGAAATGAAACGCGAAGCTCGAGCAATTTAAATAAAAGGGCTCGCCGAAGCATTCTGGCGAGAACAAAGGCCGGCGGCGCAGCTCCTCGCACTTGCCGCGGCCGCCCATCGATTGTGAGGGCTGCAGCCACCTGCGCGTCCGCGTCGTCGTCAGCGGCGTCATCGGCGGGAGGGAGGGAGGAAGGGAGGCGAGTGCGGGGGCGCGCGTCCAGTGGGCGAGTCGCGTAGTAAGCGGGTTTCCCGCCGGTGGCGGCGCGGCGGCGTCGGTCGGGGAGCGCCTGGCGGGTAGGCCGACCCGCGACGCGCCGCCGCCGCGCGTGCGGCTGCAGCTTCTCGGGGCGGTGAATCACGCAGGAAGCGACGCCTGCTCGCCGCCGCGCGGGGGCGGAGACGCGAGGGAGGACAGGTGACGCGGCGCGGTGTCTGCTGCGTCCCTGCCGCCACGTGCCCGCCGCACGCACCCCGGCCCGCCCCCCTGCGACCCCAAGCGGCGAGGGACGGCCGGGCGCCGAAGCGACGAATTTCCGGGAGGCGCAGGGCTCCCACGGGCCGTCGCGTGATTGTTGGGAATCCGTGGAAAACGACGGGCGAGGGGGTTTGTGGAAGAGAAGGGGCATTTGCGAGATCCGAGGGGTACGCGACGATTTTTATGTAAACGAGAAAAAAAGATGTGACAGATGGTTGAAAAATATTGTGGGGAATATTTTTTGTTTCGTTGTTTTGTCTTCCACTACTGATTGCCTTCAACTGCTCCCGCCGTAATTCTTTTTCATCTTCTTTTTTCCCTTCAGCAACGAACCCTGTTATTTATAGGTTCACGGATAGGAGCGATTATTATCCATTTGAAAGTGACTTGGAATTGCGCTTGCATTTTTTCCGCACTCTCCGATTTCTATCGCGGCGAAATTAAACTGGAGAGAGGCCGATTCATCTCCATCCCGCCGTCGCCACTCGCTTCCAGATCGACTGCGGCCGTGCGTGTGTCGGTCGCCACCGCAAGAATAACTCCGGCGGGCGGCTACTTGCAGCGCCGCAGCGTCTAGCGGAAGCGTCAGCGGATGCGGTTTGGAGGGGGCAGGGGGGTGGGCGACGCGACGGCAGCAGGCTGCGCGGCGCCCGCGGCCGCCCACGCATCGCCCCGCGCGCCCGCTCCCGCCCCCGCCCCCGCTCCCGCTGTGTCACTTTCCGGGGCGACCTCCGCTTCGGCCGCGCCCACGCGCGCCGTCCCGTCCGCGGTTCGCCCCGACCTCGCGCCGTTCCGTCTGGCGGCGGCGGCGGCGGCGGCGAGCGTCGCCGCGCGAGGTCCTTGCCCGCTTGCGACAGCCCCCGCGCGCGCTGCTCGCGCCAGAGATGATGATGGCGATGAGTGTTCGCGGAACCGCGCTCGCCGGATCCGACTCGCGCTGACCCGCCTCGCCGCGCGAGGAATCGTACCACCCGCACGCGGAGATGTGCGTCAACGAATCGAGCGAGGAGTCATCACGCGACCTCACATGGCGCGTGACACGAGGATTTCTTAACAAGCAACTTGAGGAGATCTGTTTCTTCTTGTATGTTTCCCCCCTTGATTTTTTTCTTATTCTTTTGTCTTATTCCTTTTTCTCTTCCTGAGTCGTCTGAATCGAAGTTCAGCCAAGCGCTAATATTCGCTGTTGCATCTACTGACTGCTCTTTTCCTCTCGGTGTTGCAGGACGTGAACTAAGGCGATGCTGGACCTGCAGCCTGCGTGGCCGTAGACCCGTCTTTCGTCGTCTGTAAGAGAAGACGTTATTGTGGCAATTATGCAAGATATGGCAACAATGCAGCAACATTCAATCACATCTCCGGCCCCGGCTACAACGATATCGAACACTCAAGGTAAGAAGATATAACACTAAATGTTTCAGGGTTTTTCAAGAAAACATTTAGAGTCGTTTTAATCCCATTTTCGGATTGCGGTGCGAATTCCTTCACCAAAACTATACATGCATTGTTATTCTGGTGAAATATGCTTAGAAATACTTGTAAAAATTTGATCTTCTGTCGAATTTGAGCAACGTGATCTTTAAACTGAAAAATGCACCTAAACATGAGAATAAAATCCCTGTTGAATTGTGATGAATATTTGTTAATAATAATAATAATAACAACAACAAATTTTACACCCTCAAAATACTATATTTATATACAAGAAGTGCGTTTAGTCACTTTCTTTACTGTGAAGCCAATCCCCGCCCGTTGCGTCCGACCATCCGGGGCGGAGCGCGATTTCGTTGCGCAGGTGGGCGTTGGTTGCCGCGCGGGGCGCGCAGACGCGGCGATCGATCGGGGCACCTTGCGCACCCCCCCCCCTTCTCCACCTCAGCCTGCGCGCGTGCGCCCGGCCCCTCCCTCTTATCTCACCGCAAAGGGAAGCGCCCCGCGGGAGCCCCTGGTTCGCGACCGCGTGCATCTTCCTTCCGATGTCTGGCTGACCCATCTGCGGCTCCGTATCCTCGCCGTGCCACCGACAAACAGGAAGGCGTCCACCGCACTCGCGGAGCGCCGTTGATTCGGACTTCCCTTCATCTCACCTTTACTCGATTTCCTCGCCTTGGATAAGATGTAAAAAAAATTTGGTTTTTTAAAAAAAAAAAAAAGAAGCAATGTACTGTTAAGATAAACGCAATCGATTCCAGATGTTACTATAACGACTAGCGAGTAAACAAACTATTACAACGGACCTGTGAAAGGAATTGTAACGTTTGTGGTATCTCGCATTCCTAAAGACTACACGTGTTTACACAACATGAAAACCCGAGAGGATACATGCCTCTCAGGCTTCTGGTAAATATTGCAACGCGCGTTGACCGCGGAGTATTGTGCATGTCAGATGCGGATTCATCCTTTTCTACTGTCCGCGCCGCTTCGGAGAAGAGCGGAATGACGGATAACGACGAAAAGGGAGGCAAGGGCCGCGGGGCACGGCGCGTGCGCGATGCCTCTTTACATGGAAGTTCTACCCATTCCGGCCGCCTCTCTCCGGAAGGATGAGCGGACTTTCCGCCATCGTCAAGCGGCGAATATAGCCTCTGTTGCGCTCTGCAGAGTGATTCGTGACACAAGACGCCGCCCTTCCGCCGAAAACAACAAACAAGATAAGCCGCCGCTGCCGCCCCCTCTCCGCTGTGCTCGCTGCCGCGCCGCGCCGCGCCGCTCCGCGCCGCTCCGAAGCGAGGCTCGCGGGACGCGGCCAGAGAGGAACTGTGCACCTCACCGCGCATCCTGCACGTCCTTGCGTCAGATAGCGCTCGTGATTCCCCCACCGCAGGATGTGTCCAGCTTCCTTCCACCACCGCCGACGCCGACGCCGACGCCGACGCCGACGCCGACGCCGCGTCGCCCGCTGACCGCCGCGCAGTCTTCGTCGCGACTCGGGAGCTTACGCACCGCTCGCAGCGCGGTTGCTCGACTCGCGCGCGCTCTCTCTCCGTCTCCTGTCACTCTCTCTCTCTCTCGCACTCGCTTTGGGTTATCTGCGTTTCCGCCGGCCCCATTCGTTTCCATGCGAGGTGATCTCCGCCGCCCTCTGCATGCGAGGAACACTTGTGCCCCTGTCGTGCCTCCGCCTCTCGAGGAGAGAATCCATCGACGGATTCCGGTTCCCCTTCGCTTTCGACGGACACGCCCCCTCGACGATCGGAGGCAGGGAACGGAAAATGCTCCCGGAATGGGGAGGTACATCGGATGACTAACACATACATCGCATGTTTAGAAGCTTTCGAAGTTTATTGTTGTGAAATGAACCGAGGCGGGGATCTGACTTCGTGTATTTTTTCTTTCGTAGATTCTCCAGTGGACTCCATCTGCAACGCTAAGTGCGACGTGGCGCACCAGGAAGCCTCGAGGACGGAGGTGGCCGGCCACGCGCCGGGCCGCGACGGCGACGGCGGCTCGCGCCGTGAAGGAGCAGGTGGTGCCGAAGTCCCGACCGCGAGGCCCCCGGCCGCCGTGCCGCCGCCGCGACCGGCGCCCGGCCGCCGCCGCGGGAAGAACCTGCAGCGGGTCCGGTCGCCCAGGAGGAGCGCGGCGTCCCCTCCACCTGACCGGCGCCATCGCCGCGGGCTTCAGGACGCGGCGGGGCGCCCCCAGTCCCCACCTCGCCCGGCCAACGACTCCGCGGCTCGCGGGCGACGGCGAGGAGTCGCCTCTAGAGCGCAAAAAAGAAGAACCGCCTCCGAGACGAGGACGACGACGAACGACGACGAGCAGGACGGGGCGGCCGCAGTCCCCGAGCCGGCGGCGGCTCGGGCAACGCTTCGGCTGGCGCGAATGGCGGGCAAAGTGCTGAGCTCCGGCGGCCGTCCCTCGAGCGCCAACGTTTGGTGGCACTCTGGCGAGCGCCGTTCCGTGGGGGCCCGGTGTGCGGCTTTGTTCCCTGCACAACCAACGGCCGCAAACTGCACCGCCACATTGCGCACCCACGGGGCGCTCCCGAGGGACAGCGACGGGCGGGGCGGCTGCGGCGGCAGCTCGGACAGCGGCGCGATCGCCCGGCCGCGGCAGGCAGCCCCGCCAGCCCCGTCGCCTGCCCAAGAAGCGCAAGATGTCCGCCCCCGGTCGGACAGCGGCAGCGGGCAGCGGCGCGAGTCGCCGCGCGTGCTGTCGCCCGCCAGCGACCCGGGCCGGCAAGCGCAAGGCGGCCGGGAGACGGCACGCCGGCCGACGGTACTCCGGAGCGGCCGCCGCGGTGCCGCGCAGCTCGGCCGGGGCGCGACTGGAGCGCCTCGGACGGCGCAGCGGCTGCCGCTGCCCGCGCTGCGGCCCGAGGCGCCGCTCGCCTGGCACGCGCGTCAGACGCGCACTATGGGCGAGTGCGCGCCCGCCGCCGTCCCCCGCCGCCGCCCGACGTCGCGCCCGGCCTCCAGCGGCGGCGGCGGCGTGGATGCGGCTGGGCCAGGTGTGCGACGCCGCCTTCAAGCAGACCCGCGCGCCCTCTCAACATCCATCCGCTTCACGGTCATGCACCGCGAACGGCCACGTCACCGGCGTCGCGCGCGCGTTCATCGCTTCAAGGACCTCACCTTCGTCGCTTCAGCAGCAGGCGAAGTTTCCCCGCACATCGCGCGAGGCCGTGTGCGAGAAGAGCCTGGCACCGCCCCAGGCACGCGTGTAACCACCGCTTCCAAGTGCGACGGGTGCGGGGCGCGCCTTCCGTGCGCGGCAGCGGTCGCTCGACATCCACGAACGGCGTGCCGGCGTCCCCCCCCGGCATGGCCGGCGGCCGGCCGTGCTCGCCTCTTGCCTCCGCGCGCCGGCCGCCGCCGGCCGCGGCCTGCCGCGGCCGCCTCCGCCGCCGACTCCGCCTCGCCGCCCGCGCCCGAGCTGCCCCACGGACCTCCACCAAGCCCAGGGCGCGGACGAGTCCGAGGAAGAGCTGGAGGAGCGCAAGCGCGACGACTTCTTCGCCGGGTTGGACTTGCGCAACAAGTCGAGCGCGCCTTCGTCTCCAGACTACGCCAACCACTTCAGCCGACGCGAGGAGCGCTTCGAGAACGCGCTGTACTTCAACACGGTGCCGCCGCCCCCGCCGCCGGCGCGCGACCTCGCGGACATCCAGAGCATCATCTCCGTGACCGCCAGCTCGGGCGGGATGCTGCAGGACCTGTCGGGCGGCGGCGCGGCGGCGCTGGGGGGCGCGGGCGCGGGCGGCGAGGAGGAGCAACAGGACGACTTCGCGGCCGAGTTCCGCCGCATGAAGCTGAAGGGCGAGTTCCCGTGCCGCCTGTGCACGGCCGTGTTCCCCAACCTGCGCGCCCTCAAGGGCCACAACCGCACGCACCTGAGCGGCGGCGCGGGCCCGTTCCGCTGCAACATGTGCCCGTTCGCGCACAGCGACAAGACGGTGCTGGTGCGGCACTTGCGCACGCACAACGGGGACCGGCCCTACGAGTGCGCGCTGTGCAACTACGCCTTCACCACCAAGGCCAACTGCGAGCGCCACCTGCGGAACCGCCAC